TCTCTCTCTCTCTCTCTCTCTCTCTCTCTCTCTCTCTCTCTCTCTCTCTGTGTCAAATTGTTGTCTTGTGCTGATGAAGTGATTCGATTGATTAGAGCTCTTTTTGCTCTTTACCCAGATGGTATTTTTCGATTTTAGTCCAATATTGGGCGGTAGAGGAAGTAATTTTGGTAGGTATGATTCATGGGTTTTGGACATTACTCAATGTATTTGGCTAGTCTCGTTTAATTTGATGAGAGAACCATCAAGAAAGACCCTGTAGGTGTTTGTTTTAGATGTAGACTTTGATTCTATGAATTACTTTTCCAATTTTCCAACAGGATTATCCTCGTAAAGGAGAGAACTGTTGATTACATGGAAAAGTTGCATGAGGGCAAAAGACTACCACCTTTAGCTATGTTATTTTGTCTACCTTTAGAACGATCCGTGTTAATCGCATCGTATGTTTAGTTTGGCGTATGAGGGGCCTTGTATAGAATATTGTTCGAAGCTGCAATTACTTATTTTGGAAGTCTGATCAAAAGTAGAAATTGTGACTCGCTAACAAGGGGTTGCGAAATGCTCTTCTTGTTAACATTTCACTCTTAAGAATTGATACAAGTAGGAAATATTTTTTATAATAACTATGAGCATACAAATTGCCTTGGAGATCCCATCAGAGTGCTTTTAGATTGCAACAATGACAACCAAATCCCATTTGTTGTGAGTTTGACTGAGTGATCATTTTAAGTAAAAAGTTCATCATTTTAAGTAAGGATCATTTTAAGAATATATTGCTAGGGAATTGTAGCTGTAATACACTGTTGTCTCAAAATACCAATGAAGTTGAAGTGAAAATTCTATATTGCTGCAATTTAAACACCCATAAGACCCATGTCTTATGGGTTTGAATGTTGGAAAATCAATGAAAACTTGTCAATGAGATGAACAATTGGAACATAATTCTTGAGATGAATTTTCTTACCAGATAGGTTATAAATCAGTGCATTCAGGAAAAAAGTTAGAGACACCTTGATCTCCAAATGAGGGAAACTTATTGAAATGGTATGCAACTATGAACTCATGTCCTTTTGAATTAGCATGAAATAGTACACCGCTGCAATTTAATCCAAAAATTTCTGTGCTGATGGATATTTGGTGATTCAAGCCCAAAACTTTTCATATCATTATGTAAGATCATCCTGCCTAAGCTAAACCTCATTGGAGATCAAGGCTGCAGTTGAAAGTGAAGGAAATCGTGCTATATCTACATGCATAATACACAGCGGAAGACATGTATGTACAAAAATACTAAGCATGTAGAGAGCATGAAATATTCATATAGATCGTCTAATTAAATCTAACATGATCCTTATTATTAAGTGAGCATACAAGAGTTAGAAAGTCATACTTTCGTAGCGTGATTCGATGGAAGATTGAATAACCCCTAGCTCTTGCTCCTTGTAGTAGAAAATCTCCTCGTAGTGGATCTCCAAGTCTTCAAGTGGGCTTGATAAAATGAGAGTCTTCTTAAGGCACAAGACAAGATATCCACCCCGGGGTTCTTAAAATCCTACTACTTCCTCTTGCTCAAAGATTGCTAAAGTTTAGTAAGAGGAGAGCTCTCTTTTATTCTCTTATGGAAAAAAACACTTAGCTAATTTTTCATTAACCTTTCCATAAGAAAAAGAGTTCATATTTATAGAGTGAAATGTGTTCATGATATGAATGACTCATCCTATGAGTCATGCAATGGATCATCAAAAATTAATGATTAATCAAGTGAGTCATGCAATGAATCATCTTATGAATCATTACATTTCAAAACCATGTGCTAATAAACCATGTGCTCAAACCATACCACTAAGTGACTCATCTCATGACTCATTATACATGGTATGTGTATTTCATAAATGAGAATACCAAATTATTATCACTAATACAGTATTTCATAAATACGGTATATAGTATTATTCCAATCTTTAACTAATTAGTCACTATATGACCAAATAAATCAAGAGTTGACCAAAAGTCAACTGTTGACCAAAAAGTCAACTAGTTGACTAAAAGTTAACTTTGTGGGAAAAATACTGGAATTCATTTCCTAAGTACATAGCATTCCGATTTTACCGATATACATAACTATTTATGTGTATCCGGAAGAAATCATATATGCGTATCAATCATACGCATCACACTATAAATTGTGTTTCATAGGATTCAAGTACGCGCTTGGTGTGACTCTAGGGCCCAACTTAAAAAACTCGGTAGTGGATCATATCCATAAGTACAACAGAGGTGCTAGCTACACATGAAGACCACCCGGGTATAAGTTGTGATAAAGGTCTGCAAGATGCTTATCCAATTTTATCAGGACCACTCAATGATAATACCGTACAGTCCGGTCTCTTCGTCAAACCATGTCAAACTATTGAGCCTAGGGTATGGCAAACTGTCAAACCCTAATAGCTTGATTAGTGTTTATTGATATTAAACTCATAACCTATAAGATCAAACTGACACTCAGTTTATCTTATTCACCTTGGCCAAGGATTTCCAGGCTATAGTTATATCAAACAATCTTATGACATCAACCCCTATACTGGGAGAGACGAATCCCTTCTTGGCATCTCAATATCTACTTATGTCTCGGGATGTACCCAACAAGAACCGTTATGCACAATTCAATAAGAACTGTGGTTAGGTAAAAGTCTAAATACATCTTTACTGACATATAAGATATTGCACTCATGCCTCAGGTCAAGAGACTACTATGTACTATATCACTTGAGAACTTCTATTTGACAGTTAAGTATATTACCAACTAGATGTTCTCGGCGAGTCGTTCAGTCAACTCATTCACTAATGAGTCACCTGTATACTGTATCTTGATGTCTCACATCAATGATCTAAGAGATTGATCATCTCCTTCAAAAGGAGAAATAAAGCATACACTAGTCTAAACCAAAGTGATGATGTCCTATCTCAACACTTCATCAACTAGGAACATTTTAGAATATACGTTACCGACTAATCAGATCTCTTCATTACGATCACTATCCGAAATGTCTGATAGTCTAGTATTTATTCTAAGGACATTATCTGTATTTTTAGAACATCAGATAAATCTGACCAAAATAGCATACTATCATTTTGAACAAGGATGTTATATATACATATAGGTCCTGTTACAATATACAATAATTGCCTGCAGGGCACCTATATCTAACAGAAAGATACGACAATCACGGGACAAATTGTTTGGTCTGCACAACTGGCACTTGAGGTTTCTGTCTTCGAATAGAAGTTGTACATCTAGCAAGTAAGAAATATAAAAAAGCTGAAACATTTAAACAGTTACTAACTTTGGTTATTATTAACAATATCTTTGTAAATTTCTACTCTTAGACTGCTACCATTTTTGTTTTCATTGAACAGAAACCTATTACCACAGTCAAGTTCAAGCATCCCATTAACCATTTTGGTTTATTAGATTGCTTTTGGGATGCCAAATTACCAAATCGTCGATTCCTACTTCCTTTCTAGTTATCTATCTTATATATTCTCAAATTCCTGATGGCCACAAGGGAAAGATTTGAATCAAGATGTAGAAGTTTCGCCTTATTGTTTTATGAAACATCATGCCAAATTACAAGTACCTTTTCCACTCATATCTAGCCTCCTCCTTTGAGGTGAAGTCATTTTTTTCTCTTTCGTTACATTGTCTTGTGCTATTTGGATTGTCTATAAATCATTCAGTTCTAAACTTGGGGTTTAGTCTATTGAAGACACAAGGAAGGGCTCAGGGGGTTGGGGGTGGGAGTAAGTTCACCACCAAGAAGATGGCTAGATGAACACGTGGTTGAGTAAGTTCTTACATATGACTCAAATAAGGTTATACCTACTTAATCGATATAGTTCCTAGCTTGTTTGCATAACTGATCTGTAGTCAAGACTCATGAGGCTTTACATCAATAAGTGACATCAATGACCATTTATGTTACCCGGGTACTTCTATAATGAAGCCATACCTGTACTGGACACGTACGTGACACTTTCCCGTACCCAAACTTCATGGACACTTCTTGAATATATGCATGCATTTATTACAACATGTAGTACCCAAACTTCATGGACACTTCTTGAATATATGCATGCATTTATTACAACATGTACTCAATTATATGATATATGTGTTAATTTATTGAATATATGCATGCATTTATTACAACATGTACTCAATTATATGATATATGTGTTAATTTAAAACACTTATCAAACGCTTCTTGGACGTATAGCTTTTCACATCCGTTTCTTAAAACTAGTTAGATATGAGTCAGGTTCATTTCAGTCCATACCCAAGTTCAAAACTATATACTATATAGTTAAAGGGTCGTTTGGATGTCTAGTTAAAAAAAAGTTGTTTCCAATTTATGATAATCAATATGATAAAAGAAAGTTAAAAATGTGATCAGAATTTTAATTCTAATGACACATGAAACGGAAAAAATGATCTCATGTACATTATTAATTCAAATATATATATATATATATATATATATATATATATATATATATATATATATATATATGTGTGTGTGTGTGTGTGTGTGTGTGTGTGTGTGTGTGTGTGTGTGTGTGTGCGCGCGCGCGCGCGTGTGTGTGTGTGCGCGCGCGCATGCGCGCATACACACACACACATATATATTTGTGTGTGTGTGTGTATATATGTATATATAGCCATGTCCCCGTACCATACATTTTATAATTTTGCCATGCCCCATGCCCGTAACCGTACCCGTACCCATACTAGTACCCGTACCCGTTTCCATGCAACTTAGGTGACCATCTTTCTATGGGTCTTTATATGTTTACATCACTTTAAGACTTTGTTTGCATTGGTTAGAACCCAGTGTGGAGCATATGTAATATTATATATGGAAGTGCTGTAATCTCATCCAACATGGATTAAGGTTCTCTTTGATTCACATGCTTCATACTTGCTCTCAATTGTGATGCAGTTTTTTGTCGTGGTGGTCCAATACATCGGCATGTGGATAGACTAAGTTTCAAGTGTGGGTTTGGTCTAGTAAAAACATGAAGATGGTAACTTAGTCCCTTACTAAAAGATGATTAGATGGTTGTGTGATGAACTCAACTCAAAAGTAGGCACTCCTTTTGAATTGATATGGTCTCATAATTAGTTTACTCTGTCTCGTGGCCCTTTGCAGCCCAGAAACTCTCTAGTTGACTAACAAATAAAAGTAAAACACTGTTTATGCTCTTATTGCTTTTCTTGTTTTATCAATTCACTTCATAAGTTAACTGTGGTTTACATCATTTCATTTGCTTCATATGGCTAAATACTGTTATCGGTTTGCAAATTCTATAAATTCGATTGTTTTTTAGACTAACTCGGGAACTACTGAAGATCAGAGAAAACATGTTCAAGTCTGGCCAAAATGGAACCTTCTGAAATTTCCATAGCATGTTTGCTTAATTGTACCGTGTTGGTTTATGTTGATAATATTCAAGTACTAAATTCATCTATTCAATCTTTATTTCATTTGATTTCACCATAGTATTTTAGTTGTATTATTTATGCTCCAATGTCCATCATACTATCACTCAGAAAAATTCACTTGCAGCCAGGAGTAATCAACTAGGAATCCATGGGAGTCGATGATGCATCGAACTCTTTGAAAAAGCATTCTACATCTCTAAAAGAGATTCATGGTGTGCAACTCGTATACCAAAATCCATTTACAGTTGGGAGACATCTTTGTAAGGACAGAACGACTTCTGAAGACTCGGAAATTGTGGAAACAAGTCAAAGATTGCTATTGCGGTAAGAAGTCAAAATTATTTTCAGTTACATAATTCTTTGACTGCTGAAATTTCCACTATCTCATGCTACTGTGGATATAAAAATAACTAATTAGCATACATTTATGTATTTAGAAGAATATGGCAGCAGAGGCCATCATGCTTGAGACCTATTCGCTGTTGTTTGCATGGTATGATAGTGAAGATTGTCCTATTTCTTGTATGTTCAATTTCCAAACGCTCTCCTGTAGATAAAGACTGAAATTTGCTTTTCATCCTCTCTTTTAGGTGATCGGCACATTGCAGAAACTATTGCTAATGTTTTAACTTCATTACCTTTTATTATTCTTGGATCTCAGGCTCCAAGGTACATTCTCTTGAACTAGATAGTGAGAATTTCATTTTTTTTTCCAATGTTGCTTAAGAAAAAAAATATGAGAAATTGACTGTTGATGCTTGCAGAAAGAATCTGAAAACCACTCTGTATGCCAATTCATTAATTGGTGTTGGGGTTGCTTCAAGTTTATACCATTTATCTAGAGGGAAAGCCAGAAAATACTTGAGATGGGCAGACTATACGATGATAGCAGCAACTACTCTTGTAAGTTATCTTACTCAATTTAACCTTTAAAGGAGACGGAAATGGAACCTGGTTGTGAATAAACACACCCCTTAAGAATCTTAATCAGCATGGCCTTTAATTAAAATGGCCAGCTCCACAGCTTATCATGCACATGATTTGTACCAAAATAAGCTACTAATCATACTTCAATCTGAAAAGTAAATTGTTTTATGGAAAATCTCTATTATCAACAGTAAACAGAATAATTTGTTTATAGTAGATGCATATAAATATATTATTAAGTAGTTTGGTCACATATCTTCAGTTTCAGATAGTTTGAAATGCAACAAGATCATATGTTTAAGAGACATCACATCAATTACAATAATTCCATGGAAAACTTGAAATTGTTACTTTATGCTCAACTATTGTCCAGTGAAGATAGAACCCATAAGAAATGACGTAAATATTTTTCACAAGGACAGTTGATAAGAAAGAATGAAATATGAGACCTCCGAAAGGGCTTCCTTTAGTATAGTGTAAAATTATGACGCGAAGCTACAGAATAATACCTATCATATAACCAAGAATGACAGTACTTTTAGTGTATAGATTTGTTATTATTTTGTTGTGGTTATTAACCTTTTTCATCTAGGGTTGGCACTGTAGCTTCTCGATTACTGACATAAGAGAACCTAAAAAAATATGGTTTTGGCTAGACAGTTGATGGAGAGGACAATGAGAGAAACCATATGAAATGTGCATCATGTTTTCCAATAAATGCTGTTGCATTAAAACTAATTACTATTATTCGGCAATTTAGGTCAATTCACATAGAATTTTACTTAAGATCTCGACCGAAACCGAAGACTTGTGCAAACAATAAACACGAGTACTTGTTCTTTCTTCGACATTACCTTATGATGTCATAAAAGGACTTGTGTGTCCTTATTTTTTTTTATTTTTTCATGAATTACACCATGTAGAGTGACAATGGCCATTACATTGTATCTAACCATTTTAATGTAATTGATTTATTAAATATCTAATTATCTATACCTGTGTATATATTTTCTACTTCCATGAAACGCCTGTTTCCTAGATTTTAGGAATTGTCACATCCATGGACATTATTTTATAGTTTATAATTTGTCATGTTAATGAAATTTATTGTATCTGTCCTGTATTCAATCTTGAGATTCAATTCACTTGTGCATGCAGTCATTAAAGAATCAGACTATAATATTTCAAATATTGCAAGTGTAACCTTATTCTATCATAATCACTTTTTCATGCCTCTTTTTTCCAAAGTTAGTTGGAAAATAACTCTTGACATTGTTTATAAAACTTTTTGTCGCATTACCACATTCCAAACAGCTGCAAGTTATAAGTCTTCCGTACATATTTTGTTATTCGTTGGCATTTTCTTCTAAGTAATACTTTCTTGGTGCACCTGATTATAACACAATATTTTTACACTAAGGTAAAAAAGCATCATAAACAAGATATTTTCCTTTAGACTTTCCAAACTAATATTATTCACATGTACGTGATAAAGGGCAGCCTCCCACATTACATAATTTTATAAAATTAAACTTTTCCGATAACTGCAACGTCTAATGCATGCACACAGAAATCCAACCTTTCCTATGTTCTTCCTTCTCATATGTCCAACTACAGAATTTTTTTTTTACCATAGTTCTTTCTCATTCGAAATAAATCTAGTAGGAATACAATAGTTGGCGATAACAAAAGTAACGTATGGTACTACTCACAGAAAAGCCTTTTGTGCTGTTGGTAGGTGGGCATGATTACCCATGCTTATGGATTACCTGAAACTTTAGTATCAACATCTATTTATACCTTTAACTTTCTACTAGAACACAGCTTCTTTATTCAGGGGTTTGTTTTCTGAGAAGATGAATAATGTTCTCATAGTGAGTAACCTATCTTAACAGTTTCCGGAAAATTTACACCTTTCTCTTGAGAGCTGTTTTGGACAACAAGAAAACAAACTGTCCTGGAATAAGTTATGCCTTTTTAATGTCCTAGACAACACAGTTGTTCATTGGTGTTCTTTTCTGAGCAGCTGACAAACACTGTCATATTCCATAATCTACTTAACTGCAATGTTTCAAAATTTCTTAGTCATCTTTGGTAATCTACGATGGAGTCGCAAGAGATGTTTTGGACAATATGAAAACATCTCGTTGTATGAAAGCAAATTCCAGAAATAAGGTTTGAGAAAGACAATATTGTCCTCCATCTAATCTTTTAAAGAAGTATATTCATCAACATGTGAGTGTTACTTGAATGTTATCTGCTGATTTTCTTTTGCTGGAGTAAAATGTTTAAACTTTTACTGTAAAAGAGGGTGGAGAACTGAACTTAACTTTGATTAATATTTACAATAATTTTCTTCATATTAGCACAAGGATATCTCAATGTGGCTAATGTACTATTGATTTCGTGCAGTGTCTTTCAGGAGCTCTGCGGGATGAGAATCCTCGACTGTTAATGGCAGCTTCAACATTTCTTTTGCCCATTCAGCCTCTGATGGTTTCAGCTGTTCACACTGGAATGATGGAGGTAAATCTCTTCTAGGTACCAAGCATCTATAGTTTTACTTAGCGATATCACTAGAAATATTAACATTATCTGAGGACTTTCCATGATATACTAAGCTGGTACCAGGCTTTCAATTCTATTATCTCTGTTTATGTAGATCATCTGTGTGATAAATCATATGTTAAATATAATTAGATCGGAATATCTGGATATTTATGAATGGGAATATTTTAAAATCCAGGTGGAGTCTCAGTTAATACAATCTTGCTATACAAACAAAGGTGAATACTGAATAGGCACTTCCTTCGAAATCTTTCTGTCTCTCTCTTGGACCAAAACTAGGGATGACTGGACAGTAAGAAACTTCATAGTATTCCCTTTCCATATTGTCTATTTAAGCATATAAAGTACTCTTGGTACCTAATGAAAATGTTGCTGTTATCGAAGCGGTACATTTCTACCTTACTTGGGAAATAATGTCAGCTGAATTTCAGTGGTGTAACCGCTAATAACATAATCTAGGGGGTGAATCTGCAGTTAATCCTAAAGTATTCATGTTGCAATAATCAATTGAAGGATTTTTTTTCTTCCAAAATTGTTTACTTTTCTCAGGTTGCATTTGCAAGAAGAGCATCCACGAAACCAGAGCTAAAGATGGCACACAATCTTCATGCGGTATCATCTCTGTTAGGTGGTGCCCTGTTCATTGCGGATGATTGCTTCCCGCAAACTCCTTATCTCCATGCTGCATGGCACCTCGCTGCAGCTGTTGGGGTTGGAACATGTAATAAGCTTCTTGAATAGTGTTATAACATTTTCAACAAAAATCAATTCGTTGACATCATTGTATAGTACCAAGAGTATTAATGCAGAAATCAGTTCTTAATGTTTTTGTACTTATGAGTAGCATTTTCATTCTTCCTTAATGAAGAAAGGCTAGAAATTTTTTTCTTGAAATCTCCACAGTGTCAACTTGGTCTCAGATATGGCTTTTACATCGTTTTGTAGTCATTGACTGATCACTTGAACGCAAAATGATGCATGGTCATTATGAGCTAGAGGGTGGAAAAATCCTTGACAAAAGCAGACATATACTGTTTACTGGTGTTAAACACAGTAACATACAATGATGCACTTGTAATTTTAATTGGAAGGGTTTGATGTTTGACAAATATGTGAAAAGAGCTTCTCTTGCTACATCTGTTCAGTGTGTGGAGAGAGACTTGAAGGTCCATGGACAAGAGAGAAAAAGCCCTGATCAGCTCCTAAAGCAGATTAAGACCCTAATGTTTATACCCATCTATAATAGTATAGTGCATCTTAGTTTCAGTGGTGGATTCAGTGCCCATAATATTGGAGGAAATTGTTCGTCTCGTCAGCTATGGCTATCATGTATATGTCAATGATTGTGGTTCTTTTGTAATCTGGGAATTGAAGCAGGAGTGTATGAGGGAATCTGTTAATTATAATGAGGCTGCTAATGATAGATTGTGGGTGCTATGAAGCAGATCCATTCTGGATCTCTCTTGTATTCATTCTACCACTAATCAATGCATTACTTGTGAAATTATCTCCAGAGAAGGAAGGGGACGTTGCTGGGTGACAGGAGTTTATGCATCTAACCAGCTGAGGAAAGAGTGGGCTCTCTGAATAAACTGCATATGTCATCTGCCACTGCTAATAAGTGATATTTTAATGATGTGTTGTCATCAGAGGATAATGTGGCGGTCCGTCCAGGATCATGAAATGAAAGGGTTTTCAGGTGTCAGATAGAATTTGGTGCGGATTAGATAGATCTCTAGTCAATGATCACTGGGTGATGAGTTCTACTGCAGGCCAGGCTGATTAATTCCGAGCCGGAGCTTCTGATCATTCATCAAGGTTCATGACCGTCTTTGAAGACAAAAATGAATGTAAGAAACCTTTTCGATTCTATAAAATGTGGACTTCTCATGCGCTCTTTCTTCCCATTATTAATAGAGTACGGTAGAAGAGGGTTAAAGGCTGCACTATGTGTACACTCTTTAGAATCTTGAGAGGGTGGCGAAAGCTATACAGAATATTGAGAATGTACAGAAATTACTTCATAATAATCTAAGGGATTCTGGATTGATTAATCTAGAGAAAAGATATCTGAAGGACTATAGTTTGTTATTCCAATCTAAAATCTCTTTTTATCATGAAAAGGCAAAAATCCAATGGAGCCTGCTGGGAGATAAAAGGTAGCACTTTCTTTCATTCTTCCATGAAAATTAGAAGAGACTAACTTTGCAAAAACAAGAGTCCGAAAAATGGGGGAAAAAAAAAACTCTTGAATTCAAGTTGATTCTATCTTATAAAGCCTAAATTGACCGAGTAATTAAGCAAAATGAGTATTTCCATACTTAATGACCTAAGCCCAATTGGGTTGGGATTCATTGGCCCAAAACTCATTAAATTGTCACTTAGAAAGCCCGATAAAGTAGAAAAAAATCACCAATGAATAAAGAGTGAAAATATATATATATATACAAAACTCATTAAATTGTCACTTAGAAAGCCCGATAAAGTAGAAAAAAATCACCAATGAATTATATATATATATACACACACACACATATACATACTAACAATGTTTTTATATATATAGTTATATTTGTATAGTCTTGAAAAATAATTTTTATTAATCGACTTGAAAATTGTTTAAAACAAAGAGTTAGTATGTTCTTTTTAAAACTTTTAAATTAAATTTTTAAGTTAGACTTGATTTTGTATAACTATAATGAAAAGATTTTCTATGAGATTTACTTTATGGTATGTTCGGGAGTTCACTTATAGAGAAGGGAAGGAAGGGGAAAAAATTCTCCTTCCTTTCATTCCCCTTCATTACTCCCTAATTTGGGGTGTAATATTTTGGCACAAATTTGCCCTACATTCCCCTCCTCTACCCTCCTAAATGCAACTCCCAAACAAGGTTAAAATTACATTTCTCTTCCCCTCCCCCTCTCTATCCTCCATCCAAACAGGCCATTAGAGTTATTTATAAAAACGTTTTCTTGAGTAATAACTAGCTTCAATTAGAATGTCTAAATATATCCAGTAAATTAATTATTCACTAGCTTCTTTAAATAGGCAAGTTGACCAAATTTTGTGAGTATATTCACTACAAACCCTCACGAGACTACAACTCGTCCACTAGGGTAACCTAGGGGTTTAAAGACTTGTTGTATGGGCTAAATACAACCGCGATTCTTGTGAAAGTGAGTTAGGATTTTTTTTCTTCTCTTTTATTTTCTTTCATTGCTAGAGGACTAGCAAAAGTTTAGGTGTGGGGGTATTTGATAATCACATTTTTATTATAATTTTATACCCTCGTTATCTATTTCACATGAATAAATATACTACTAATAATTATTTTTATCTTAATTTGTAGATTAATAAAGAAATAATGAATAAAAGCCAAAAGACTATAACTTTCTTATTTTGTAACATTTTATTGAAGCACAGGGTCAAGCCAAGAAGCCTATAGAAGCCGGAGAAAATAAAAATCTAATATGAAAAAAATCATATTCAAGATTGTTGGCCACAAAGAAACAATAATATCTCCCAGTCTGGAAGGGAATTTAACATATAATATATGAAAATAGTCTATCTCGACGAGATGAAGCCATCTGTCAAGTCAGATTTTTGATACAAGTATCGATACCGGTATCGATATAAGTATCGATACCTGCATTGATATCAGTATCGGTACCTAAATCGATACTAGTATCGATATCAAATATACAGTTACGATTTAAAGGTTGAAATTGATTAATTTAGGAAGCAAGTTTAATCCAACAACTCTCATTCATTATTGGAGGCTATAAATAGGGGTAGAGAGTGAGGGGGTTAGGGTGTGAAATATTTTATAAAAAACTCCTTTTGGAGAGGAGGGTTACTCTTAATTGAGAAGATCTTCCAAATTATAACTTTTTGTTATAATTAATAAAGAAATATTTTCACATCTTCATATTTTTCTTTTCTTCTCTTTGTTTGATTATGAAGATGAAGGTGAGATGAAGATGAAGATCAAGAGGAAGGTTTGCTATCACCTAGAGGTTATAACCCTCTTAGGATGCAAATTTTCTCTTTGTTAATAAATTTCTATTTTACTTTCTTTTCTTGCTTAAATAGCAAAGTGGCTAGAACCCTCTTACCTTAGATTTATTTTTATGCTTAATAGAGTAGGTTTACTTTCACGTCTTTACATTCTTTCTTTAAAATCTTATATTTATTTCTTGCAATTTATTTTGTAGTTTTGATTTTATTTTCTTACACTATTGGCCTTGAGTCTAGAACCCTCTTGGGTTTAGTTTTTATTTTTGTTTATTTTTTCTTTCTTTAATTCTCCTTGAGGCTAGAACCCTCTAGGGAATTGCATTTTTTTAAAGATGTGGAACTAGTACTTGTGGGAACTCTAGAAATTGCATAAAACTACTAGCTAGTGGGTTCAATTCTAGATTTCTCATATCTCTAATTGAATCCTCCATCTTTTATTTTCTTTATTTTCCTCTTTATTCTTGATTTTTCTCTTATTTGTTTCTTAATTTTATTTGCTTCATCTTTTTTTCTTCCCTTTTGTTAGTTTTATTTACACTTACACTTTATCACATCCACTGTTTATCTCTCCACTCTCAATCTTGTTTTGTTTTTATTTACTTACAATCATTCTCACTGTCTTTATGTCTCCACAATCATATCCATCACTCCTAATTGTCACACACACAACATAAGAACCGACTTTGATTTTCTCCTACAAACACCTTCCTCGTGGGATCAATAATTTTTTATACTATAACTTGATGGTTGTGCACTTGCAACTCTAGAGGTATACTTTTATGCCCCGTTACATCTAGAAACTCATTCTCTGCGATGGAGTAATTTTATTGTGCACCGTTTAGTATCCTACTTGCATAGTAGATCACATAATGTTTTATATCTATCTATTATACTAAGACAACACCAGTTATAAAATCGGATGCATCATAAATTAACTCAAATGATAGGGTCCAATCCAGTGCATGGATAATAAGAGTTGTGTTATCTCCTTTTGATCAAATTCCTCAATGCATTCAAGAGAGAAATAGGAGGGTGTATCCTTAGCTAAAAGTTTAGTTAAAGGCCTAGCAATTTTGCTGGAGTCTTTAATGAACCATCGGTAAAAACTAGCTCGACCAAGCAATGGTCTAACATCCTTGACAATTTTGGGAGGAAGGTTAGAAATAAGATGTGCCTTAGCTTCATCAACTTCTATACCCTGATTGAAAACTGCATACCCTAAGACAATACCATGTTTGACCATTAGGTGACATTTGTCCCAATTGAGAATTAGATTTTTCTTCCTATACGAGGTTAGGACAAGTTTGACATGATGCAAACACCTAGAAAATAAGTCACCAAATATCAAGATATCTTGCATAAAAATATCTAGGAATCATTCAACCATATTGAGAAAAGATACTGATCATGCATCATTGAAAAGTGGCGGTAGCATTGCATAACCCAAAGAATATGCGACTGTAGGTAAAACTTCCATACGGGCATGTGAAAGTGATTTTTTTCTTGATCTTTAGGGGCAATAAGAATTTGATTGTAACCTGAATAACCATAGTAGAACTCGTCCGGAAAAATGTTCAAGCATTTGGTTTGTGAATGGAAGAGGGAAGTGATCTTTTCGAGAGGCTAAGTTGAGTTTCCTATAATCAATGCAATCTCGCCATCCGATTTAGATTCAAGTGGGAATTAACTAATTAGCATCATTTTAGATCATGGTGATCCGTAACTTCTTTGGAACTACTTGAACTGGACTCACCCGGGAACTATCCAAAACGGGATAAATGATCTCATTATCAAGATATTTTAAAATATATTTCCTAA